AAACTTGTTATTGTCCCCAAATGAGGCATATTTTTTTCAAAATTTTCGTTCTTCATTCCTATTTCAAATCCTTTTTATAGCTGGATACCCTTCTTCTCACTAATGGCAGAGCAAAAACTAGTTTATAAGCACTTTTACTGCCACTATCTATAAATTTCCATATTTCTCCAGCAAGCCTCCTTGGCTTCCTCTTACTCATTCTTCTCATGCTTGAAAAAATTAAGTATAGAATTTTCCTAAACCATCATGCAATTGCCTCAACTACAGCCTTTGGATTCTTTGTGCTTCTCAATCCTGGAGTGCATTTCACTTTAATTTTCTATTTGCATACATCAGTGCAAATAATTCATAATTCAATTTACAGTTTTAAGTTATTATATGACATGTTTTTTCTTTTAACATTTTCCCTTTCTCAAATCTTTCTACACTTAACTGATAGAACTCATTTTTAATCCAAATCTTATTGAATTCTCATATAAAAATTGCTCTACTGGAAAGCAGCAGTTCCATTAACTATATCAAACTCTCCTTCATTACGTAAGAACTTGAGTGGCAGCTATGTGCCCAGGGCTAGCTAAAAATTACCACGAATTAAAAAGAAGTTTAATACAGTGCCTATCCCCAGCTATAGACTGAAGGCATGCATCTACTAAACAAGTAGCAAATGAGACAGTATTATATAAAGTAAAATCCATGTTATCCAGAACCTTTGGAGGACTAGACTATTTACATAACTACACTTTCTAGACAGCCTACTGTTTATCCTTTTAAATAGCAAAAATTATATTTGAATCATGTTAGACAGACATCTAAAACATATTTTTCCTACTTTCATTAATAAAGTTATACTGAACATAATTTAATCTTTGATGGCTGAGAGAGATTTAAAAAAAACATAAAGCTGTTAAGCCAGAGTACAATGATACCTGACGGCCTAACCAGATGTGTAGGAGTATATAAATTTATGTTTATGGTTTTGAATTATTGACGCTGGGACAAAATATGCTAGATTTTTAATGCATCTTCTGTCTCTTATTTTGTAAATCTGTCACACTGATATACTACTATAAACTCTGTAAGAAAACATGTATCAGGAGAAGGATTAATTCTGGTACTTACTGTGTGGCAGAAATGAGAAAAATTTTGCATGGCATCTAGCAATTGGTCTGGCACAAAGTAGGGAATGGTGACAGCACTAACAGTGACTTGACTATACTTGGAGACAGGAGATATGTGAAAGTTTCTTACTTCAGTAGAATATGCTGGGGGTCACGATACTTCTGGCAAACCTCTAAAATGCTGCATCATTCTATTCATTAGAGGCAGAGGTACCTCCAAACTTATATAATCTTTCCCTCATCTCTTAGACATCAAAACTGCGAAGTACTAAAGTAACCCAGGTAAGATTCAAAACCCAATTCATACATCATTTACTGAGTACCTGTGAGTTGTGAGGCACTGACATTGGTGTTAGAAATACAAACATGACAAAGACTAAGACATTCTGAATCTACACCCATAATTTCCCTTTATTGTGCCCAGCCACATCCAAGGCTCTAGGCAGCAAATTCTCCTCCTAGTATCCATTAGGAACTCCGGTGGTTAAACGCTCAGCTAGTAAACTAAAGGTCAGCGGTTCAAACCCAACCAGCAGCTCCACGGAAGAAAGCTATGGCAGTCTGCATCTTAAAAGATTATAGCCTAAGTACCCTTATGGGACAGTTCTACTATTTTCTATATGATTGTTAGGAGTCAGAATTGACAGCAAAGGCTTTGTTTTTTTTGGTTTTTAGTATCCTATTAGCACCACTTCTTTCCTAATTCTGTGCTTCTGACCATGGTGTGCCCACTTGGAATTCTCTCACTGTACTTCACCTATTCAATTCTTCATATCCTTCAAGGCCAGCTAAAGTCCCCCTCCTCCTGGACGCCTATCCTGACTCCCATCTTATCCCAAAGCGATCTCTCCTTTCTTCAAACTACCTACAAAGTACAGTGAGCACCAAATCAGTTTATTGAGAAATGTATGCTTTTCTACTTGATGTGTTTATTTATTCACCAAATACTGAACTTACTAAAGAGTTCTGGTGGTGTAGTGGTTAAGGCATTTGGCTGCTAACCAGAAAATCAGCAGTTCAAACCGACCAGCAAGACCGCAAAAGAAAGATGGCACACTCTGTTTCCATAAAGATTTACAGCCCTGGAAAGAAACCAAATGGGGGTCACTATGAGTCGGAATCGACTCAATGGAAGTGAGTTTGGTTTGGTATTGTTCTTACTATGAGCTGGCATTGTTCTAGGTGCTGAGGAGTTAGCACTGAACAGTACAGGGTTTTGTCTCCCAAAAGATGTTCCTGGGGAGAGTTCTCTTATACAGTATTGCTTTGGAAAATCCTTCTGTATAGCCCTGAGTTGGTACTCAGTGTTTAATACCCAATTATTAAAACTTTGTTCAAGCACATTCAAATTGAAGTTACATAAACCTAATGGGGAACAAAAGCTAACGAAATCATTTCTAAATAAACTTCCACTTCTTACAAACCTCAAAGAACAAGGAAGGAAAAGAAAACAGGCTATGAAAGTGCTGCTGAACCAACAAATTTAACATGCATTGACAAAGCACCTTCAATTTCCCTTCCAACCCATATGAAAGTGACCCTTTTCCCTCAATCCTTTCAGCTCCAGACCCAAGTGTTTATTTTAACAACAGGCCTCAGCAAAGTTTAAAGCACTCCTCCGCTTCCTAAACAACTCTTTCTAAACCATTATTTCTTGGTGAATAAACCCCCTGATGGATCCTGCATATGCCACCTAACAGTCTAATCCAATGAATTCCAGTACAAGAAACTAAAATTCGGGCTTCAAACGCAAGAGGGGCTCAAAGAACACTTTCAACGTGACACATCCAACGATAATTTTAACAAAAGCTAGGTCCTGCACAGCCTAGTGGAAGGTTCCAAGTTGCTGGAAAGGAATAGACAATTTCTTCCGGGGAAGCCGCGAAATTCTGCAAGGCGTGGGAGTTTCGCCAGGAGGTGAGGGAGATTTAAAATATTTTGATCTAAAGTTGTTTATGCGATACGACAGCTGGCACCCGATAGCAGACGAGGGTGAAGCCAAGCTGTGCCATGCGGCAGAGGCTGCCACCTGGGCACTCCCACCATTCTTCGTAGCCGGGTTAGGACACAAGAGGAGAGTCTGGCGCCGCGCGGATCCGGACCAGCGCCTCTTCCGGCTACCTGCCCCGTAGGCTGCCTGCCCTGGCACCGTGCAATCCACAAGCCCACCCCACGCAGGTCTCAGGAGCCTCGACCTCTCTGGGGACCAGTAGACAGGCAAGAGAGAGGAGGATCTCCAGGTGACGGCCCGGTCCCGGTGCGTACCCACCTTAGCAGACTGGAGAGAGGGTGGCTCGAGGAGCCAAGGCCGCCGCTGCCGCCCCCGGAGCTGGAGCCGGAGCCGCTGCCGCCGCCGCCGCCGCCGCCGCCGCCCCCGAAGCCTGAGGAGAGTCGCTTCCCCGACAGCAGCTTCTCCACCGCCGGGAGGTGCCCAGTGCGGGCCGCCTCCAGCAGCTCCTGCTCCTTCCCCATCCGCAGGGTCGCTGACCACTAGACCCCAGCCCTGGGGCCGCAGCCAAGCCCGCTCTGGCTCCCAAACTTTCCGTCTCCCGGCAACGCACCCCCTAAACCGGCCGGGGACACCACCCCCCTCCCCCCCTTCTTTTCCCCACGCGCGCGTCACTTCCGGGATCTGGCGTCACGCGTCACCGCGCCCCCGAGCCCCGCCCCCTTGCCCACCTAGCTGGGCGGGGCTCAGAAGGCGGGCGCAGGTGGCTGGGGCCGGCGTGAAACTGACCCGGCTGTGTTGATAGAGCTCCAAGGGTAAGGTGTCCGCGCCATGTGGCCTTTCGCTATCCAGATAGGAGGTGACAAATGGGGTCTACCTGTGCATGCCTTCCAAAGTGCGCTTCTTCACCAAATGTTTTGGGAGCCCACGGGATAGGAAATACGGTAATTCACCAAGGCACTATAGAAACAAAGAGAGAAATATGGTAATGCGCACCTACATTTCCAAGTTCATTCTTTCAACACGCACAAGTTAAATGTCTGATGGGTGCGGGAACATAGTGATACAGAAGTGAATAAAAGTGCCCTTTCCCATACTTTCTTAATGGATTCCAAGAAGGGAAGAGAAGAAAGTTTTGAAATAGATATATCCTCATCTCTTCATCTTCCCAATCCCTGAAATGCTCATTGCAGTGAAACGTTCAACGGAGAGAATTTGACCCCCGAAAAAATGTTTCCTCTTATTCTTAAAAATAAGATTAACCGAACTGACATAAAAAGTCATATTTGTGAAACCGGCCCCGGTCTGTCCAACTACTGGTGGGTTTTTAAAAATCATTTAATTAGGTAGGAACTTTGTTTTGTTCACTAGTACATGCCACTGCTCCTGGCTTGAAGTATGCGCCCAATAGTTGTACATTTATGTATCGGTTGATACATAAATTCTGCTCAATCTATACTTTTATTAAGTGCATAAACACTGTCTCTGCCTGAAAGTTTACCAATCCGAGGCAGCTCCATCCCAAGACACGGACTTACAACGGAACTGAGTTTCCTTCGTCACCCCAACTATGAAGGAGGTATGTAAAGGAGGAGGCTAATGCAGATTACATTTTTAGAAAAGGAAAAAGGAGCTCTTCAATAAACAGAAGTGCACGCCTCCACAAATGCTGCTTGCCCGGGGCGAAAGATCCACAAACTGAACGATGCACACCCAGTTTTCCCACGCCCCACGGCTACCTTAACATAGAGTTAAAAACAATCACCAAAAGCCTCTATAAATGCCTCTAACTGATCCCTGCGACGAACGGTAGGGTTTATGTCATCGCGGAGCGACAACAGGAAGTAGGCTTCTGGGCTGCTATGCTGCGCGGGGCTCAGAGCTCCTGCGTCTAACAGCGCAGCGATTTCCCCTTGTCTTCTAGTCTTACGGTGATGGACAATGCCAGTGAGTCGCCCACAGACAAAGGTGGAGAGACAGGGGAGTCAAATGAGACACCCGCCGCTCCACTGGGTCCCGCGACCACCAACACGGAAGGAATCTTGGAGGAAACAGACGGGAACAGAGATGGTGACTTGAAAGAAACCGCGGTGGAGGAAGCCGAGGTAGGGGGGAGAGTGTTGTTAAAGGCTGAGGAATACCCGGACATTAGGTTACTGGCCGCTCGCCAAGCTTCTCGGTTGCTCCCTCCCAAACTACAACAGGTCGAATTCACGACGACTCCCAGTCATGGGAAAAAATCCTAGTGCTAGTTGCATTCCAGTGGCCCACCGCACTGGGTTAATATTTTTAATCCCTGCTTTTAGGAATTAAACTACTTCTAAATACATTTTAAGGAGCTCTGGTGGCGTAGTGGATAGGGCTGCTAACCAGAAGATCAGCGGTTCAAACGCACCAGCCTGCTCCGCAGAAGGAAGATGGGGCAATCTATTTCCCTAAAGATTTACAGCCTCGGAAATCCGATGGGGTTCCTGTGAGTCAGAATCCACTCGATGGCAGTGAGGTTTGTTTGTTTGTTTTTGGGTTTAGTAGGTAATTTTAAACACTCTGTGGTGAGGAAATTGGGACTGAATGTCACACTGAGACTTAGTGCAAAAGCCAATATTAGAACTCAGGATTTCTGACTTTGACCACATTGCAATATGGGTCTTGTTGTTGTTGTTGTTGTTGTTATCATCTCCCACAGAGTCCCCCAGACTCCTGGTGACCCCATGCACAACAGAGTGAAATGTTGCCTGGTTCTGCACCATCCCCATGATGGATTGTATTGGACTGCTGGGTTGTATAGGGTTTTCATTGGCTGATTTTCTGAAGTAGATACCATGCCTTAAATCCACCTTAGTCTGGAAGCTCCACTGAAACTTGATCAGCATCCCTGAGCAGGGTATGAGGTGCACTGGCCAGGAATCCAAACCTGAGTCTCCTGCATGGAAGACATCTACCACTGAATCACCAGAGCCCCCATGAGTACTCTTAGATGTTGTTTAAGCATAACTTTTGTCTTTATAGATGGTAGAGTCAGTCAGATCCATTAAAGGAAGACTTTGCAGGGAGTTACTGGTTTAGTCACATTCTTATCATCTTGGGAAATTGCTAATCAGAAGACTGGTGGTTCAAACCCACCAGCCACTCATCAGAAAAAAAACTGGGCAATCTACTTCCATAGAGATACCTCCTTGGAAACCCAAGGAGGGATCACTATGAGTTGGAATCAACTCGACGGCAGTGAGTTTGGTTTTTGGTTTAGGTACAGTCACCTGTGTGCTAATGTCAAGGAGTCTCTAGAGCATAAAAATGCCAAGTCCTTCAGTTTTGCAACCCCAGAGCTCAGAGTGTTGCCTGGCTAAGGCTCTGTCAAGGGACCAGAATCTCAGCATTCTCTGTGTTCCATTTCTAGAAATAGAATCTTCAGGTCTTGGAGCTAGAAGGGACTTAAGAGATCATGGAGTCCAGGACAGGTTAGATGGAAACAGCCTTTCAGAGCACAGGGTTGCTCTGAAAAAAGTAAGAACTTTTTTTTTTTTTTTGAGTAGCCCAAAATGGCTGCATAGCATTCTTTTTTTTTTCCACTTTTTATTGTGATTTGTGTGAAACTGAAGACAATGTTCATTTTCTATTCAACAATTAATATACATTTTGTTTTGTGACTCTGATTACAATCCCCACAATGTAAGACCTCTATTCCCACTTCTTCCCTGTGTTTACCCTTTCCCTGTGTCCTTCTTACCTATGCATCTTGCCTCTCTAGTTTTCTCCTTGCCCAACTACTGCCCTTCTGATCTCTCATGGTTGATTTTTCTAAGGAGTGCATCTCTCTGGTGTAATTGTTCAATTTATAGGCCTGTCTGTTGTTTGGCTGAGAGTCAGCCATGGGAGTGAGTTTAAAACCAGGCCCAAAGAGCTACTAAAACCAAACCAAACCCAGTGCCATCGAGTCAGTTCCAACTCATAGTGACCCCCTGTTGGGTTTCTGAGGTGGTAAATCTTTACGGAAGTAGATGGCCTGGTCTTCCTTCCACTGAGTGGCTGATGGGTTTGAAATGCCAGCCTTCTGGTTAGCAGTCAAATGCCTTAAGCACTATGCCACCAGAGCTTCTTAGAACATGTGTGAGTACAGGCAGGGTCTGCCAGGCACTAAAGTAAGAACTTTTAAGGGAAAAACAAAAGAAAGATATGACAAAAACTATCTTAAGAAAGCCTTTAAAACAGGTCTCAATGGCAAAAAGGATTAGCTTGGTCCAATAGAGAGCTCCACCATCCCTCAGTTGGTCAGTTTCGCTTATGTGTTGCTAGAAGCTATGCTACCAGTATTTGAAATACTAACAGGGTCACCCATGGTAAACAGGTTTCAGTGGAGCTTCCAAACTAACACGGACTAGGATGAAAAGCCTGGTAATCTGCTTTCAAAAATAGCCAAGAAAACCCTATGGATCCCAACAAAATGCTATCTGATATAGTGCTAGAAGACAAGCTATCTAGGTCAGAAGATGTTAACAATAACCATACCGATGGACTGAAACATGCCAGTGATCATTAAGATGGTGCAGGACTGGGCAACATTTCCTTATGTTGTGCGTGTGATGTTTCATTGTATTGTACATAAGGAAACCATGAGTCAAAGTCAACTTGATGGCAACTAACAGCAGTACCTAACAATAGAGAGTTCACTATAAATAGAACTTTGCACCCAACAGAGAATACACATTCTTTTTTAATGCTTCTGAAACACTTACAAAAATTGATCATGTACTAGATCACAAAGAAAAACAAATTCTTTAACTCAGAAATCATAACATTCCATATTTTGTTAGTATAGTGCAGTTGTTAATTGCCAAAGAGTCCATTCCAGCTCATGGAAATAAAACCTGAAATTAACAATAAAGAACTTCCCCTATACCTACCTTCCAAAAACTATCACTGGGACATTTAAATAGTCCTTAGATTAAATAAATTAACAAAAAGAACAGTCTACATCAAGCCCTATAAGATTTGACCAAAGTCTTATTTGGAGAAAAATTCTTACACTTAAATATTTTTATTTATAAGAGATATTGAAAATAAGCACCCAACTCAAAAAACCAGAAAAAGAGCAAAATATATACCAGAAAAATGTGGGAATAAAGAGTTAATAAGGATAAAAGTAAATGTTAATGAATTAGCACTTACAAAACAGAAGAAATTGTAAAGTTAAGACCTAATTATTTGAAGTGTAAATGCACAACATTACAAAATAAGAAAGGGGGGCTCTAAGCACTGATAAAGAGCTTATTAAAGAAAACTTACTGTTCAAGTTTACGCCAAACAAATTTGAAAATCTAAGAAAAATGAAAGATTTATTAGGAAAATATAAATCACCAAAATTGAAGCCCAGAGAAGTTTAAAAAAAAAAAAAAAACTTGTTTAAATCATTAACTAAAGAAGAAATTGAAAAGTTTGTCAAAGATATAGTGTCTTTACTACCACCCAGCCTCCATTCCCATATTCCCATATGAATTTTAATGGAAATTCCTGTTTTAAGGGAATCAGAAGTTAAATCTCATTCATGAGTTTTGTTGTACCCTTAGAATTATACTAACTTGAAGAGGATAAAGTTTGTATTTTTTCCCCCCAGTTAAATAGATTTTATTGAACACCTGCAATGAGTAAAACTGCATTAAATCCTTATGGGAGAGAGATAAATAGTAAGAGACTATCTTCAATAGTTTTTCATGCTAATGAATGGAAATAAATGTTTGCATGATATAGCAGAAACGAGGGGTAGGAAGGAAGAGGGCTTCCATTCTTTAACAACCCACTTTACACTTCCAAATTGAAAGAAACACTGTTATTTTGATGAGAAGGGGCCTCCTTTTTAACATTCTTTCCATTGTGGAATCATGAGTAGTAAAGAGATCTGTAGATCTAGAGGCAGAACTGGCTAGATGGAGAGGACTTTGCTGATATCCCTTAAAGAATGAGGTCAGGAGAGTGGGCCCAGGGGGAGAGTGGTTTTTGTACTCTTTGGTATTTCATTACCCTCATAAACAGGTAACTGTGGCTACAACCATAGCTAAACTGGAAAACTGGATTATATAGCTGATTTTCTTCTTTCCACAGTTGGGCTATAAACTTCCTTTAGTAGAGCAATATGGTATCTTACACTTACTGGTATGGCCAGTTCCTAGAACCATAAGCCTGTTCAGTGAGTAGGTTTGCTGTGTTGTTATAAGGATAATGTCTTCTTACCTTACCCAAACCTGAAAAGGAGGCCAAATATATAATAGGGTTTCTTTCATCTTCTTAGCTGAAGAGTCAGAACGTCTCAGATTTAACAGCAGTTGAAAGGGAAGACTCATCATTACTTACTCCAGCAGCCAAAAAACTGAAAATAGATACTAAAGAAAAGAAAGAGAAGAAACAGAAAGTGGATGAAGATGAGATTCAGAAGATGCAGTAAGTCACTTTCTGCTCTTTCCTGTTTTCAAAACTCTAACGTGACCACATTAATATATTTTCTTGACATTTAAAATTGTTTTCTTTTTAAAACGTAAATAAAGCAATTAATACACCACCAGAGCTCCTAATACGTTTTATTACATTGTAGAAAATATAAGTAGAAAGAAAAAATAATCACCTTACCACCAGGAAATAAACACTGTTAATATATTGATGTATATTCTCTAAGATTTTCTGTACATACATTATAATTCTTTTTTGAAAATGTTACTGTTTTATAACCTACCTTTGTTTCATATATGATGAATATTTTCCACTTCAGTAATTATACATCTAAGTCATAATTTTCTTCAAAATGGAATTAATTTTATGTTTTCTGCTTGTAAAAGTCATGAAAGCTCATTGCAAACAATTCAGCAAATATAGTAAAAATAATTCCCTATGATCCCACCACCCAGAGTTTACCCTGGGTATTTGAGTGTGATATTTAGTTACATACCTTTTCAGAGTTTTTTCCATGTTTTTGATATGTAGCTATATGTACATATATTTTCATGCTAATAAATATGCCTTTCCAAAACCAAACTCACTGCTGTCAAGTAGCGACCCCTCCTTGAGTTTCTGAGGCAGTATCTCTTCGGAAGTAGATTGCCCAGTCTTTCTTCCAAGGAATGGCAGGTGGGTTTGAACTGCCAGCCTTCTGGTTAGCAGTCAAATGCCTTAGGCACTACACCACCAGACAACTTCATTTTTAATGACTACATTGTATTATACATTATGAACCATAATTTAACCAATCCCAGTGGCTGCCACTTTTTTTTTTTGAGCGGGGTGGGAATGGACAACATAATGTACACGACTTTGCATACTTGTTTATGTACTTCCTGTGATAAACCCTTAGAAGTGTTAATTGCTACTTCAAACACTATGAACGTTTTCAAAGGCTTTTAATACATATTTCCAAATTTCTCTCCAAAAGGTTGTTTGGTTCACATTCTGCCAGCATGCATGAGTTTGTGCCCCATAACCTTAGCCTCTTGCTAAGACCATTCTTTATTTTAATAATTATCTGATTATTGAAAAATGTTATCTTGTTTTAGTTTGTAATTTTTATTTGTTTAGTTAATAGTGAAGGTTAATGGTTTTTTCCTCTATCTTTATTGGCCATTTGTATTTTTGTGAATTTCCTCTTGAGATTCCTTGCTCGTGTTTAAAAATGGCCATCTTTTTATTAATTTGAAAGAGTTAATTATATATTAAGAATATTAACCCTTTTCCATATGCTTTGCAAATATTTTACCCCTGAAACTTTTAATGTTGAAAGTTATTTGTTTGAACATAAATGTGTATGTTAAATTTTTACTATCACTTTGAAATGCAACAAGGGAGAGTTAGAGAGTGAGCCCAGTGCTGAAAACATAGTCAATATAGTGTGGAGTGACTTCATTTTTTAATGAAGTAATTAAGAAATTGTGTTCTACTTTCTCTCAAATTCCTTAAAAGGAGAAATGGTCTCCTAAGCACCAAGCATAAGGCCATTAATCCCTTGAGAATTCATTTTTCAAAAATTGTCCAAGACTTACCTTTTATTCACAGAACAATTTATCATGAGCATTTGTTCTTAGAAGTTAATTACCTGAAACTTTCTCTAGAATCCTGGTTTCTTCTTTTTCTGAGGAGCAGCTGAACCGTTATGAAATGTATCGCCGGTCAGCTTTCCCCAAAGCAGCCATTAAAAGGGTAAGAATGGACTACCAATCTTCATTTCCATCATATATTAGAACTGAACTAGGCTCAAGAGCTATGTCCATTGGCATTCTGAAGTGAGATGGTAGACAAGTTGGTGGATCATTAAGGTGGGGAAATAAAAATAACATGCCCCTCAGTTATCTGATCAATTGTAGTTTTATATTCTAGGGATAGGGTCTCAATGCACAGAATAAGTTGTAACACACCTGGATCCTTATTTTAATAGTCTCAATTTCAGCACTTGTCCTTTAGTAAACATTTTTTTCAGTGCAAAGCTCTTTTATGGGTAGTATATTCTAAAGTCAGCCCTTGACTGTCTTAATCACAAAGTCTTTGTCCTTCTTTTAAGCTGATCCAATCCATCACTGGCACCTCCGTGTCTCAGAATGTTGTTATTGCCATGTCTGGTATCTCCAAGGTCTTCGTTGGGGAGGTGGTAGAAGAAGGTGAGTAGTGTTGGTTCAGATGTTGGATTGAACCAACATTTGTTGACTGTATTATTTCCAAGAATACCTAATACTAAGGTACTTAGTAGTAGTTGTACTACTTCCTTGTAGTTCCAATTTGCATTAGAAATTGACCAGGTTCGAGCCTTTTGTATTTGGGAGAGCATGACCATTATTACTTGAAAATTTCAATAATGGGGGAAAGGGAGGCATCTAGGAAACCCCCTTCCTAATTCCAGTCCTCAGCTTAGGGTGATTGAAGCACCATTTGTATTTTTCTCCAACGGACTTTACTCATTTCTGCTGCCAAAGAAAAGATACAGGAAAACCAATCACCAAGGCTCATTGGTATAGTATAGAGTGGTCCATGATGTTGTAACCCCAGAGTACTGCCTCCTTTGTCTCACTGACCAATGAAACTTTTAAAGTGGGAGGTTTGTTTTATGCTGTTGCCTATGACAACACCTGATACTAATATTATGCTAAAGCTAACATGATGTATTTTATAGAATTCTCTTAAGAAGGGAAATGTCTTACTTCCTTAGCAAGAAAGGTTAATGAGAATTATAGGACTCAACGGGAGAATATGATTAATAAACTCATATGGTAACAAAAACTTTCTCCTTACCCTCTGCTTAGCACTGGACGTGTGTGAGAAGTGGGGAGAAATACCACCACTACAACCCAAGCATATGAGGGAAGCAGTTCGGAGGTTGAAGTCGAAGGGGCAAATCCCCAACTCGAAGCATAAAAAAATCATCTTCTTCTAGGCCAAAGACTAGAAAGGTCTGTTACTGAAAGAAGTACTAGTTCTAGTCTTCCTATTGCATGAGACTTTCCACACTGGTGCTTCAGTGTATCAGTCACCAAGGATTTCATCATGATCTTAATGTCTTCCTCAAAACCAATTTGTGTCTAACCCAGAAAATGGCATGCAGCCTTGCTTCATACTTGCCTTGACTAAATATTGGGACCTCCTAGGCATTTAACTCTTTCTTGGCCAGTTGAAACAAAAAAGGTACATGGGCCTTGAGCATTCTCTGGACAATGGAGCTGCTTTCAGAGAGAGAAAACCCTCCTAAGAGAGCTTTTTTGATGGTTTCACAATGAAGCCTGGAGTTGGTATGACTTAGGTTGTTTCTTAAGTCTGGTTTTAAGTAGATGAAACCACCTGAAACTTTTGACTTGTGATATGCTACCATGAAGGATGCAGTAGTGGAACAGTTGTTCTTGTAAGCATTTAAGATTCTCCTAATGGATTTTGGTGAGTGATCATTAAACTGTTTTCCAGCTTGCCATATGTATATTCGTTTTTTGGTTGGAATAGAGAGACATTCTTTTTTGTTATCAAAGTAAAACTGGTCCTGACTTTCTTTGTGAAAATTTCAGCCCTTCCCATTGTTTGCTTGAATCATTAAAATGTTATCTCATAAAAGAGCACATAAAGCCTGTTTGAAAATAGAAATATATATAGTTTGGATTCCTCTAAACAGATAAACCACAACCAATATTGTTTAATCAGTTTAATTTGTTTTTCAGGTGGTTCACAGAACCAGTACACTCAAGGTTTGATTAGAAATTGCAACATTAAAATTTCCCAATACTGACCAGGATTCTAGTTCATTGATACATTCTTATTGTTTGCCTCAAACAGAGGGAAATGGAGTGACCTTTTGTTGACAGTGATTAGCAGTAATAAGGCGACTGTATATAATTGGCAATCCCCAGGAATTCTTTCCTTTCTATCATTCAGTGTCAGGGAGAAGTGTTTTGAAGCTATTTCTCTTTTAAAGCTTTCCTGAGCATGTTTTAGTAAATATTCCAATTTCTGTTTAGCACCCAGATTGGGGAAAACAGCTTAGATTCAAGAAGGGAAAATCTGACTTTTATACCTGTTATCAAAACACATGTCTTTTCCATATGTATGTAGCCAATGGAGAAGACACTTACAGCAAAGAAATGCTTAAAAAAGTCAGGTGAAATTTTCACCAAAAACATAAACTGGCAAAAACCAGATGTTCTCAGCAGTAACAGGAATTTTAAAAACAGGTACAGGAACTATACCTGTTACAGTTAGATACTGGATAAAACTGAAACTTATTAACACGGAAGGAAAATCACACCCCAAACCTGCCCACTTAGCAAGCCTCACTGTTAAAGGTTCTCCCTTAGTGCATGTTCTAAGAGAAAGAGGAAAAGAATCCCCATTCAACAACAGCTACCATCCAGTTGACCCAGAGATGAATGGGAAATTCTTATCCTGGCAGAAGGTGGGAGAAGGAACTATGTAAAGGCTCTAGACCCTGAAAGGATGGCACATCACAACAGAAATAATAATGACTATGGTAAATCACAAAGCAATGACAGCCTTTGCACTTCTCCAATAAGCAGATATCATTCTACCTGTTTGTGCAGCAAAGTTCAGTTGTTTCCACAGTTTTGTGATTTTACTAGAACTGATTTTAGAAGTTGAAGCAAATATTAAGAAGGAAAAAAAAAAAAAACCCAGTGTAAAGGGGTTGATAATCACTCTGGCAATATTTCAAACTATCTTCTTTTTACTACCCCTTAGAACTAGTTGAGGGGAAACAAATAGAAATGAGTTAAATGGAAGCACTTAACGGTATTAGGGATGGTGGGGATGGGAATGGCATTTATCCCTAGTATATTCCATATACAGCAACTATTTCTTTCAGGACTATGACAAAGGGGACATAAAGGTTGAGGCCTATGGTAAATTGAGTCAGACAACACAAAGAGTAAAAGGCAGCCATCACCTGAATAGAAGGTACTTCTTTTGTCTTAAGTCAGGGAAGCTAATTATTCCAGTGTGTTCTAAGGAGAACTCGATAAGAGGGATAGCCATCCCTATAGCCCCACTAAAGAGAGGATTTGGATTCTAGTCCATATGCACTAAAACATATCCCCAGTACATCCATGTAAACAGGAAATCTAGACAATCACAGATAATACATAGTCATAGATGCTTCACAGCTGAAATGGTAATGTGCAGTGGCTGAAGTCTTTTGAGGGACAGTGGTGCTATCACTCCAGACATTTTCTTGAGGTATTGTTACTTCTTGTTCAGTCTCACAGCTCTTGAGATAAAAATGGTAAGCAGTCCAAAAGAGCTGACACTTACTTTTTCCTTCCATTATTTTCCTTTACACTTAATCCTGAGGACTACCAACCAGTTCATACTTCTTCATTATGAAAAGGTCTTGCCCTAATGAACAAGAGTATAAAGTTATACAAGATGATTTTTACCAAAATCGCATGGGATAATGACCCTTGCCATGTTTCCTGCGGGAGAATTTCAAGACACAATGGCCAAAGCTGCCACATAAGGGAGACATGTTGTAGGATTCCAGTTGTCACATGAACTCTTTTCAGAGGGCTCAGAAATCTGACTGAGCTCTGGCCATTAAGGTGTTAGTCTTACTGTTTGCTGGATTTGTTTCTACTGCCTCCTATCAAGCAAAAGCTTAAGGTAAGGACACACCAACCAATGCCAATTAGACATTTTCTCTGCATGGAGGGATATGGTAGGAGGAAAGACACTTAGAATGTGATTTTAAATCAATTAAGGTGAGCTTGAAATTGAATAATACTACATTTCCTGTCTCCTGGATTCCCATCATCCAAGAGCAATAGAAATGGCATGCTTGAGAGGACCAATGATCCTCAGTTCATCATTGTGCCTTTGAAGAAGCACTTAAGGGAGAATTTGCAGAAGTATGCAGTTACCCTCTCAGTTGTGTTATCACCAAATAGCCCTAATTTTCTACAGTCTCTTTTGAGAGGCCATCATACAGAGATTCTTCTTAAACTTCTGCACCCATGTATAGTTTCTGCTGGCACTACTATTTGGACAAACAATTCTTAAGTTTCTGACTTGCTATGAGAAGTGCTTTCTTTTACCTAAAGCTATTAGGTAGAGCCCTAGAGCTGGTCTTCCAGGACCTGGTGAACATGTCCTTGCTTTTTTCTGGATATTTGATTAAACACTTCCCTCAGCTTTCACCTTTCCAGAATGGGGTCTACATTTTAAAGATGTGTCCTCATGTGGAAATACCTCTACCCCTTATATTTTTTGTTCTTTTCAAATCTTTCCTCTTTTCACCATGTTTTATAAATAAGAACACTAGAAATGCACAGATTTAAGACATAGCCATAGTTTTGTATGAGGTGGTGGTTTCAGTGTTGTCTCCTAGAGCTCTTCCTGATGATACCTAGACAGCAGTTAGGCTTTTGGCCACAGAAGCACACTTTGATCCTCCTCCCTCTTTAGCAATGCTTAGCTTTCTTTCCTGAGTTTTAGCAGACCTCATCATCTTATCAGTTGATGATTCTTCCATAAATACATTACTTTACACTTGCCCACAATGCAACTCATCTGTCACTTTTCTGAGAGTTCTGCAGTTTTGTTTTTTTAATCTCTTACGGTTTAACCTTTCATTGCCTCAAAGTAGTGACATTATAAAATCCTATTTTCAGGTCATTTATAAAAATCTTAAATAAGGTTTAACAAAGCATCAACCTTTAGGAAAACTTCCCCTATCAGCATTCTTTACAGAAAGATATTTCTTTATTTCTATACCTCTAAGTTTGTTTCCTAAGCATGACAAAATAGTACCACAATCATATAGCAACTCATGTTTTAAAAACTGCCTCAGTGACGAATCCTGAGACAAAAGTTCTTTAAAAGTCTGAATAAATTAAATCTGGTTCCTTCTTGAATGCATGTTTCTTTTTATCCTCAAAAATCTAGAGTACACAAATCAGGTATGATTACCCATAAGAGTCATTTTACCTTTCCTTCAATAGGTCATGTGTGGTTAAGGCTTTAGTGACACCACTAAACCACTATTTTACCATCTTGCCAAGTCAAGATGGGTCAGACGATGAATTCCTATCCAATCAACACAACTTGAATATCACACAGCAGTATGGAAGAAGGTAGAGTATTGGGGAAGAATTAGAAAAGAAAGTGGAGGAAACCAGCGGAGGTAAAACCTAGCTAGGTTGAAAGGTTGTTCTCTTTTTTATACTGAAGTCAAAATTATGTGATTAAAGAAAGCCACAGTGACATAGGGGGTGAGAGACAACAAGTTGAGATGTTTATGTTAATTGATGTTTAAAACACATTTTCAGACTCCAGTCTACCAAATGCTGAGGAGAGGACTGGGAGAAAGTCACAGTGCTGGGAAAGCAGATATGCCAGGGACTACACCTGCAGCTGTGAAGGTGGGCAGGACTTAGGCAAGCCAAGGGGGGCTCAGAATCAAGGCCCCTACTGATCCCTACCACATCATGCCTTCAATTCAACCTAGCTCTGGTGAATACATTTTTCTTGATTCAAATTTCAAACAGTTATAAAGGGAAAAGTTATTGTATTAGCATTGTGCCCTCCAAATGATGCTTTCTATTCCAGCATCACAATGAAGAAAGTGTAACACAAAGAAAGCTTAACCTTAAAAATCTGATAGTAATAGCCAAGATGATAGAAGCTTGGTTCCCTTTCCAAAAAAGGCAGACTCCAGATCCTGCTTGTTGTGCCTCTCCTGGCCCCCATCTTGCTAGACTATTTCTTATCCCACTCCACTACCGAGGCCAAAGCTCAGGCCTGCTACAGGAAGCTCTGGGACATGGAATCTTTGGTGGCTCTGTGGATAACTGAGGAGGTGAGTACTTTTCCTTGTTCACACATGTGGAAGAAGCAAATGTCTCTGCCATGAAACCAGGAGATGAAATGGCCCTACAGTGCCCAGAAGATTCCACCTAGTATACAGAGGGCCAGAAGGCTTTATATAGGCAAGAGATGATGTTTGAGCCACACACAAAGCTGTTGCCAATTTCCTGGGACATGGTCATGCATCCTCTATCCATGATAGAACAGCTAGTAGAAAGCACACCCCCAAGGAGTAAGTCAGGCACTCCTCAGTCTCTCCAACATCCTTAGGCAG